GCTACACGCGCAGCGGCACCGGGCTCTACCTGGGGACCTGCGAGCCCTGCCAGTGCCACGGCCACACCAGCGAGTGCCACCCTGAGACTGGCGTCTGCGAGGTGAGCTGGGGGCAGCAAGAGGACACCCCGGGGACTCCCACGGTGGTGACACCAACGCTGTCACTCCCTCTCCTTTGCAGGGCTGCCGGGACCACACCGAGGGTCCCCAGTGTGACAAGTGCCAACCTGGCTACTACGGCGATGCCACCCGGGGCACCCCGGGTGACTGCCAGCCCTGTCCCTGCCATGGACCCCACGATGAGAGCCAGTAGGTGCCACCCTCTTGTCCCCTATGCCCCTGGGGACGCTGCTGGGGTGTCACCCATCCCCTTTGTCCCCTCCACAGGGTGACCAAGAGCTGCTTCGAGGACAGGGACGGGCAGCCCACCTGCAGCGCCTGCGCCCCAGGGCACAGCGGGCGCCTCTGTGAGAGGTGACAAGGGTCCCGAGGGGGGGTGGGGGCTGGTTTTGGGGTGCAACCCCCCCTTCATGTCATTTTTGGTGTTCCCCCCAATAGGTGTTCGCCAGGATATGTGGGGGACCCTCTGCGGGGAGAGCCCTGCCGAGGTGAGTGTCACAGGGAGGAAATGGGGCAGTGTCCCCTACGGTGGTGGCACTGGGAGGGTCCTGCCTGACCTCTGTGCGTGTGTGTCCCAGTGCCAGGTGTCCCTGTTGGGCAGTGCCAGTGTGACCCACGTGGCAGTATGGGCGAGGGCTGTGATGCCAGCGGGCAGTGCCGCTGCAAGGTGAGGCTTGTGTGTCCCCAGAGTGTCCCCAAAGCCTGGGGAGGGGACACAATGGTGTCACCCACCCTGTGCGTGTCCCCCCAGACTGTCCCCAAAGCCTGGGGGGAGGGGGATAGGGTGGTGTCACCTACCCTGTGTGTGTCCCCAAAGCCTGGGGAGTGGGACACAGTGGTGTCACCCACCCCATGTGTGTCCCCAGACTGTTCCAAAAGTGTGGGCAGGGGGACAGTGGTGTCACCCACCCTGTATATGTCCCCAGACTGTCCCCAAAGCCTGGGGAGGGGAACACAGCTGTAACCCACCCTGAGTGTGTCCCCAGAGTGTCCCCAAAGCCTGGGGAGTGGACACAGCAGTACCACCCACTGTCACCCAGCCTGTTCGTGCCTCCCCGGAGTGTCCCCAAAGCACGAAGAGGGGAACACAGCAGTGTCACCCACCCCATGTGTGTCCCCCCAGGCCAACGTGGAGGGTCCCCGCTGTGCCACCTGCCGTCCCCACCACTTCCACCTTAGTGC